TTACTTAGCAAATACCTTTGTGGGTCTAAGCACCGAATCTCATCTATATTGCAAAGCTGAATGCTGCCACTAGGCGTGAAAAGATGGCCACAGTTATGATGAAGTTTGATTGTTGACTGAAGAGTTGATTGTGGGTATTGTGAGTCACTTGAGACTCAGTTCTTTTACGTGTGATAAAGATAACTGTTAGTGGTGAAATGAAAAACCTAACCATGAGTCTCCTTTCTTCCCTGAGTAAGCCTTTGTTTACATCCCTGAGATAGGGATCCTACCCAGTAGATACAAAACTTTACCACCCACCCTATAAGAAGTGAAATGATCCCTCAGCCGGAAGATACTGATAGGGATCTTTAACATCCGTAGCCAGAAAACGTTGTACTTCATCAAATTTTTGCAACGTTAGGAACAACTCTTTTCAGTATTCTCTTGGTAGCACACTAACTTAATGAGTAAGCTTACTGCATGCGCAAAGATTTGTTCCAAAGATTTTACACATTCAATCCGGTTAACCCTTATACTAGGCGTGATGCCCAGATGTGTTCTGCTGTCATTGGTGGTCATCTGTAGATGAGGTACCTGGGACACAGAGAGGCTCAGTGACTAAAGGTCATTATCCAGGTTATGGCAAAGGCCAGCTTTGGACAGCAACAGCAGGGCTCCACAGCTAGCTTCATCACCATGCATCTTGGGGCTGGGATTGAGGCTATATTTATATATATAAAGCTTGAGATCTAAAAATATTGGTACACTAAAAGTGAGGTGAGAAACTCCCAATTTTATGTGCAGCATCAGTTCTTTTCCAGCTCAGCCTAATTTTCCAAAATTGATAATCTCATTACAGCAGCATCTTGCCCACTAAGAGATGTTGGAACATTCTTTTTCTTCCTGAGTTAGAGAATATAAAACAATTATTCTTCCCTTTCTCTATGGTATACTCTTGACTCATTTGTTGAAAAGTTTTGGTAAATTAGACTATATCAACAATAATCTCTTCCTTTTTGACTTGACAAAGGGTATTATTTTCCTGCCCTGAAGACATAAAATCACTCTAATACGTTTTCTTATCATAGTGTTATAAATTTTTTCTAACATCTATCTCTAATTTATCTGGAGATAAATTATTGTGTGTGTTGTCACCTAGAGATGTAATTTTTTGATGCAGAAATCTGATTGTCTCAATACCATTTATTTTTTTCTGAATAATATAGAAGCATCCTCTTAATTTTAACGACGAGTGCATATTAGTTACTGTCGATGTACTAGGTATTCCCATTCCATTGCCATACTATCCTAATTTTTATAGTTTTATATTTATTGATAGGATACTGGTAGGACAGGTATATCCACTTGTTTTTATTTTCAGAAACATATTGGTTATTCATTATCCTTTATTCTTCCAAAGAACTTTTAGAATCTGTTTGTCAAGTTCCAGGAACAGTTCAATTAGAATTTTTATTATAATCACATTAGTTGTATAAAATAATTTGGAACAATAACATTTTAAAATGTCTTTTTGAATAATTTTTGTAATGTATCCATAAAGTTAGCTTTTTGTTCTTATGATCCATTTAAACTATGCTGTTCTTTGATCTATCCTAATTATCCATTTATAGTCTATTAGAAAAATATTGGTCTTTGAAATCTACCTTGTATCCTCGTTGAACTGTCTCTACTAACTTGTGTGTTGAATATCTTTGAATTTCCTTGTAAACAATCATACCACTTATAAGTAGTAAAATTTGTATTTTCCTTTTCAACCCATATTTATTTTTTATTATTTTATTACATTAGTTAGGAATTTATAGATTTTAATGTTGGATGTGATAGGCTTCGTTGTTTTCTTGTTGTTAATCAGATTACTTGTAAAATTCACTGGTTCAGTAAATATTTTTATGTACCAGCTAGATGTGGTAGGCATCTCTACAGGCCCACAATAAAGAAAAGATAATAGCTACCTTTGTGGAGCTTATTTTCTCCTTGATTAGATAATAAATACATAAAATCTGTAGTACAACAAATGATGACAGACAGTATGGAGAAAAATTAAATAGGAATGGGTGATAAGTCATGTTGAGGGTGGTTGAGGGAATTATAGTTTTATTTTATTTAAAGGTTATTTATTTATTTATTTATGGATAGAAGAACTGGGGTATAGGCCAGAGGTGCGGGAGTTGAGAGGATTCACCAGAAAGTGGGGAGCAGAACAGGCAGATCCACTGAAATGCACTGCTGAGAGGAGCAACAGGTAAGACAGGACAGGTCTGCTGCGCCATGTGGGTCAGCTCCTTGGCCGGGGATCAAACTCAGGGCGCAGTGGTGATAGCACTGAGACTTAATCCCTTGGCCACCGGGGAGGTCCAGGGGAATTGTAGTTTTATATAAGGTAATTTTCTTTTTTTCCTAAGATTTATTTATTTAGGGCCTCCCCTGGTGGCACAGGCAGTTGAGTGGCGCGCTGTGAAGCTGTCCACAGCCTCTGCAGCACTGATTCAATCCCAGCCAGCCGGCCGGCCAGCAAGGGATCGAACTCGTGCTGCAAAGGCTGCAGACTACTTTATAGTGTGGTGCTTAACCCCTTGCACCACCAGGGAGGCCCTAAATAACATAATTTTAAATTAGATTTCCCTGAGAATGTAATAGACCTGCAAAAATTTGAAGGAACCAAACAGCGAGTATGAAACGGTTAAGTGCAGAGGCCATGACATGTATTGTGCCAGGCGTGGTGGAGGAGCAGTGAGGTGGTCGAACAGTGTGACGAAGAGCGAAGTGCATCCACGGAGGCTCTCAAAGAAGTGATGGAATACAAGATTGAAAAAAACCTTGGCTTTTACTTCGAGTAAAATGAAAAACTAACTGAAAATATTGAGTGGCTCTGGGTGGAAAAGCCAATGCATTTTGAGTGGGTTCTTTGCTGAAATCATCTGCCTTAGGTTTTAAAAGACGGCTTTGGCTGTTGTGCCAAAATTAAAATAGAATTGAATGTGCAGAGGAAGAGATGAGGGGCATGAGAAGCATGCAGGGGACGCCCCATCTCCCGCTTTCTGATCTGCTGATGTGGGATCTGAATGAAATAGAGGAGTTGAGGATGACCCCGAAGTTTTTTGTCTGAAAAATTAGAAAGATGGGGCTTTTCATTTATTGTAAGTGGGAAAACTTTGGGAAGGGGAAGGTAAGACTGTCAGACTAGCACATCTTATATTTGAGACTCCCAAGTTAAGAAGGCCAAGTGGAGATGTCAGGTAGGTAGTTGGATGTATGAGTTTGGAGTTCAGAAAAAAATCATCTTACTGGGTATGTAAATTTGGGGGTTTTGAACAAAAAGCCAGGAGGTTCAGTAAAAGTCTCAACAAGTTCGTCAAAGAAATGCTCAAGAAGAGTTCTAAGACTATGAAACTGTGGTCATCTTAAATTTGAAGGTGAAGTAGGTAAACAGGAAATCAAAGACTGAGAAGTAGTAACAGTGAGAGTTCAAACCAGTTAGTGGGGTGCCCGGAAAGGCCAAGAGAAGAAACTTTGTCAAGTTTTTCTTCATCACTGTGTTAAAGGCAGCTGACAGGCACAGAAGGTGATGACAAAATGACTCAAATTTAACAATATGGAAACATAATGATGTTCACAAAAAAGGTATAATTGGAGTATTGGACAACTTGTTTTTAAGAGTGCAAAAAGCTATCATTGGGGGCCCCCCTGGTGGTACGAGGGTTAAGATGCAACCTATGAAGCTGTCAGCAGCCACTGAAGCACAAGTTCGATCCCCGGCCAGGGAGATGACCCACATGGTGCAGTAGACCTCTCCTGGCTCGCCCACTGCTCCCCTCAGCAGTGTATTTCAGTCAATCCACCTGTTCCGTTTCTCACTCTGCCTCTGGTGAATCCTCTCACCACCCCCCATTTCTGGCCCACACCCTAGCTCTTGTTGCATAAATAAATCTTTTTTAAAAAAGCTATCATTGTATTCAGAAATGAAAATATCATTTTAAAAGTATTAACTTACAATGCTAGAATAACCTAAAGTACTTTATATTTTTAGTATTTTCAGTCACACATATGGTAACCCCTGTTTATGAGTTATATATTACATATTTATGAAAAATGTCATTAGGTAGAATTCATTCCTTTTAATAAGAGGTCATGCTTAATTCAACTTTATTCTACTAAAATGTAATTTTCTACTTTATCTTCAACAAAGACCCAAATAAGGATAGATTTTATAAATAGGTGGGGATTCATTTGACCTGACTGGTAAGGTCACAGGTACAACATCCTGTACCCCACTATTTTTCTTATCTCTCATGATATTTAAATTCCACCAAAGCAAGTCCCCTAGATTTGATGACTTTGTATCTTTCTACAGTTCTTTACTAAATTAAATTTTGGGTTATGAGAGGAAGAGAGTTGTCTTTGCCACAGGGACCGCTAACAGATAGTCATTTTGCCAATATTATCAATACTAGTACCCGGAGGGTGAGTCAGAGGCGCCGAAAAGGAGATTGAGTGTTCTAAAAGGAGGCAAGAAAGCCCTCAGAACAAGCTCCGTCTTCCTCATGATGTTACATAGTGGGAATGATTTACAAGACTCAGTTCACCTTACTGTAAACATCAGTGGAGAAACGAGTTACACACACCCCTCATAGGCAACAAAGGTGTTCATAAAGGAAGCAGATGTAATCATTCCTGAGTAAAGAAGGAAGTTAAAAGTAAATTTTCAAACCTTATCATATTTACCTTACCAACTGATGTTGATTACCTGCCAGCATTGTTACTATGAGTTTATGGAACAGACTATGGTAGACAGTTGTTCCTGACGTTTTTTAGAATATTCTCCTAAAGTTTTTTTCCTGAGAATTTTTAATTTGACTGCTAAGGTTTATTTTTACCTTTTTCTAAACTACCTCTCCCTTCTCCCACCCACTTCCCTTTTAATTAAAGTATGTTTCCTTCAACATAGACAATTTACCCATTCTGTCATTTTTTCATACCTTATGCTTCTCTCTCCTCAGACACTTGGGTACTGAAGTAGCTGAAATGCGAAAAAGGCAGCAGTCACAAAATGAAGGAACACCTGCTGTGTCTCAAGCACCTGGAAACCAGAGACCCAACAACACATGTTGCTTTTGTTGGTGCTGTTGCTGCAGCTGCTCCTGGTATGTCACTCTGTGTGGTACCACATCTGCGCTGGGTGGTAACTCAGGTGAACGTGCTTGCCAGTTCTTGGCATGATAGAAACTTCTCAGTGTGTCTTTTTGGTTTTTCTCCTTTGCAGATAGGAACTATTGGAGACGGTCATTGTTTTAATGCAAACATTTGCACAAGTAAAATAGAGTATTTCCTCAGGATCTACATTTAAATACATAGTAAGAAATAATTGAAAAAAAATTACTTTATATCGTGTTTTTCACCATCCATGCTTCTTAAAGGTTGGGTGGAAATGAGTCTGTGGTTATCTATGTAGTTAGCAATAAACAGTCTTCTACTATGTTCCAAAAGGTGCAAACACACTAAGATAATGTCTAGTAGTAGCCTAGGTAGCCAAATGCAGTGTTTCAGTTGGGGTGATGAGCCAGAAAACTGTGGGTCAAGCAGGAACCCGAGCCACAGGTTCCTGCCAGCAGGCAGAGGAAAAAGAGTCGCAGAGGCACATCCTCTGACATGAAAGACCAGGACCTTTGCTGGGGGTGAAAACCAAGTCAGTTAGTGAAAAACTGAAATAATACATCCTGCTTTCTGCTGAAATATTTATAGGCTGGGACATCATGTAACGTCTTAATCTCTGTTTTTGTTTATTTGTTTCCTTGTTGGCAAAATAAGGAAGATTCAGACAACCTGATTCCCAAGGCCCTATCCTGTGCTAAATGCCCAGGCTTCAGCTACCTCAGAAAACCTACTCCATTTCTCAAGTCTCAGAATCCCTTCAAATAAGAAAATCAATAAGACCCAGAATCCCTGAGAATTACGCAGGGGAGGTTGCTCAGAGGGTTACCAGACTTTATGGAGCCGTAAGTGTGGAGATTCTGTAAGAGCCAGTGCACAAGTAGACTTTCTGGGTTAGCAATGGTCTTCCATCTCTCCTGGTATTTCCTTTTAAAGAAAGGCCCAAATGCTTGCCGCTTGCCATGTCCTTCTACACGGTTTCCCACTGAGGGGTGGCATGGTGAAAACCACCCAAAAGTTATTCTAGCAGTGTGGAAGGTTTAATGTAGTTTTATAAATATCGAAATTGTTTTCCAAATGATTCTTTGTTAGCAAAGCCATACCATTCCTTTTCTTTCATTCTTAAGCTTTAACTATTTCAGATGGAGGAAGTAGAGTGCCAGAAAAGGGATATTGTTCAGCATAACTGTGTAACTTTTTTTTCTATGTCACTCTTAATGAGATTACCTAGCTGGACCTCCTTAGTGGTGCAGGGTTTAAAGTCTCAGTGCTACCAAACTATCAAGCCACTGCGGCATGAGTTCCAACCCCCTCCAGGGAGCTGACCCACATGGCACAGCAGGCCTCTCCTGTCTTGCCCTCTGCTCCCCTCAGCAGTGTGTTTCAGTCAGTCTGCCTGTTCTGCTCACCATTCTGTCTCTGGGGAATGTTCTCACCCTCCACACCTCGGGCCTACACTCCAGTTCTTGTATGCATAAATAAATAAAAATAAAACTTTAAGGAAAAAAAAAAGAAGGAATGAAGTTCAAATGTATAAATGCATTAAAAATTCAAAAAAGAAAGATTATGTAGCTCTGGTCCTAGTCCATGAAATGTAACATAATATAACATTGGGACTTAGGATGGTGGTTCTGAAGTCACACCACCTGGATTCGAGTCTGGTCCACACACTGTCTGCATGAGTGACCCTCGACAAGTTACTGAATGTCTCTAGTCCTTCAATTCCTCATCTGTCAGATAACAATAAGAATTCCTGGCTCATAAGGTTATTGTAAAATGTACATGAAATAAAACACAGAGTGAGAACAACACCCAGCTATAGTAAGCATTTAGTAAGAGCTAGTTTACTGGCCTATGGAATACCTCATACTGGAAAAATAAAATCTCTTTAAAGAGAAGCTGGTTTGAAATAATATTTTTTAAAAAATCAGTTTGTCAAAATGAAATTATCTGGTAAAGAAAAGTTACCATAACTTCCAAAGACAAATCTCAAATACATTGCTACTTAGTATTGAGGACTATACTTCTTTTTCTCATTTGCACCATGCCATAGTCCTTTTTCTCATTTGCACTATGCCATATTCCAGTAATCAGTATATGATTTAATGATATTTATCCACCTCTCCAAACTTATTTCTGAATTACTGCAGGATTAAAACACCAAAAGAGTGCTAAAGTTTTGTTACAGTATGTTTGTTTGCTGTCAAATATTTAGTGAGACTTGCTTTTTATTTGTAAGACATGCCTCTGTGGATTCTTCAAGTCCCCATTAAATAACAAAACATTCAACTTAGGTTCTTGAGATGGAATTGTCAGAGAAGACAAACTAGGGTTCATTAACTCTCTGCACCTCTAGGGGGTGCATATTTGGGCTCTAAACACGTGGCACATTGGATGAGCGCACTGTTTGCTCAACTAGGATATCCTTGTCAGGTACTGTGTTTGTTAACAATGAGTCATGAATGGTTGAGTGTAGGCCATAAAATGCTCAGCCTATACATTTACAAGTCATCTGTACATAATAAAGGGTGGGTAATTACTATTGCAAGCAACTTGATAAAAGTTAAATTGTCTTAAATTATGGATTTTAATTGCGATTACATTATCTTACTGCAAATGAAAATGTCCTTTACACGTGCAGCTTTAAAATATCACCTTTTTTGTATTTTGAGTTTAGGAAGAAAAATTCTAGAGGCTGATTAGAGTGGGGAAAAAAAAAGAAAAAAAGAAATTGTCTTCAAATTTCCTAGGATAGGTCAAAGGGCCAGAACAAAAAGAAACATTAAAAAAAAGTAATTTGGGGACCAAATAACAAGTTGAGATTAAAATATAAAGTCACTGTAATTGTGAATAGGAACATTGTCATATGGTTGATTTTACCTGCAGAATAGCATAACAATTTCCTCTTCTATTGTGTGATAGAACATTATGCCTCTATATCATAACAGTAGCCTCAGTGGGTGTTGGGAATCTGTAGCAGTCATCCTCAAGAAGATGACTCTGCTAATTGGGACTTTCTTTAAGATTTTAAGTGTGGTGGGGAGATCCAGAAGTTCATGGTTAGTCCAGAAGATAAACTTGTGAATTGGATATTAAGGAATCCCTAATTTATGATTCTAAGGGAGGTTCCTTTAGGTCTACATGCCCCTGAAGAATCTCATCTGCAGAAGTCTTGGGACTCTGGACCTTATTAGTTTTCTTATTTGGCATTGGTCACAGACTAAATTTAATAAATTAACTAGCCCTGTGAAAGATGAAGTCACCTCCTGTTTGTTCCCAGACCATGGGATAATCTCAGTACATGTTACGTGCTTCCTCAGCGTGCTTCGGGTTGCCCCTCCCCCCATTTTTAACAAGTGCCACAGCCTCTTTAATTCAAAACAGTGCAAAAATAATGTCCCATTTTAGCCTCTGATGCTGTCACACTTTAGCTCTCTGCCAATGGATATACTAAGATGGCTTCTTTAAAGCCAAAGGATATTTTGTGAAAGGAAAGCTAGAAATCCTTGTCCCCTGCATGATAAAACAAATCCCCCCCCCCTCCGGAAATAAATCTGCTCACACTTCAAGGTGAATCATTTCCTCTGTGGTGCCAGCGCATAAATAGTCTCATCTGTACCTGTCTTCCTCGGATATCTGATCTCTCTAACAGGGAACCTATGTTATCTGCATAGAATTTCCAAAGTACTTATAACCAGATCGTCACAAATATCAGTTACAAAGAATTTTATAGTTTTGGAACTCTATGGCATAGGTAAATTCCTCAAGAGTTTCTATAACGTACATGAACTTCAGAGTCACACAAATATCTACCGAAATGAACCTAGATTTCCCAGGCTATAAACACTACCAAAAAGTAGACATTAGAACCGTGGACCATTTGTATGTCATGCATTCACTGATTCACTCACTGGCAATTTACTTAATGCCAGGTATTGCCTGGCACTTTTACATGTCTTTCATTTTCACTGGTGATTTCCCATCTCTCCATTGACAGGGCTATCAGTATTTGTTATCATTCCCCCAGATCGCCATCAAGAAAAGCTTAGCATTCACATTGCCTCTGCCTAGCCTTTGTTATAGATGGCCAGAATGCCAGCTTCTGGAAATGACCAGAACTAGAACTGGCTTGACCCTTTTCTGTTGACGGTATGCCACGGGTACTCTCTGTCACGGTGTAAGTACAGGTTTTTCTAAGTGTGCTGTGTTTATACCATCCATGGAAAGTGAATATGAAGAAAACAAAATAATAGAGGAAAATATTATGTCCAGTCCTGTTTAGGGGAGTGGGAAGAACAGGGCAGCACTGGAGAAAGAATATCATTAATTCAGGCCGGAAGAAGGAAGCGCCAGCTTCGAAGGTGGGACGGCTCACAATGCTGATTCCACCAGGAAGCAAGGGAGGGTCTTGCAGGTACGGGGAGGGCAGGGAGGGCACCCTGTGAGTGGCTCCCAGAGGTGGGGAGTAAGGAGCGAGGGAGGAGTCCATGGGAGGAGCCTGGTGAGGGACCACACAGCTGCCAGAGGATAGGCCAGGAGGGAACAGAAAGTTAGATGGCAGAAGCCTCAGAGGATGAGGGAGGAGGAGCTGCCTCTGAGAGAAGGATCCCCTCAGAAGGCTGTGTGCCAATTGGGACCAGTCGGGGAGACGGACCAGGAAAAGCTGAGAATGCAGGAGAGTGTATTTGACATCGAGAGGGATTCCCTAGGAAACAAAGACTTGTCCTCTGGTGAAGAAGCCTTCCAGCCTAAGGGGACAGGAGGAAAGAGACTAGGTAGAGAAGTGGGACGCTGCTTCCAAGGCTGGGGGTCTGCATGGAGATGTGAGTGGGCTCCACTGACCCCCGATAGCTCGCTGGCATCATTGCAGGGTTGGACCCAGGGAGGAGCTCTCAAATCTCAGCTGACTCATCATTAGTGGCAATGTGATGAGGGCCATCTGGGTCTGGAGTGGCCAGGAAGTGGCCAAGCTTCTGAGATGACCTTGGCACTG